GGTATCACAAACTATTTGTTTTCTTTTTTAGACAATGTATTTTTTATATAAGTTATTGCATCTCAGTGCTGCTGATCGCGTGCAGTCTCTTTCCAATCACTGCTTATCTATATGGCACTCCACTGATAGCTGCATAGCATTTCCCAGGGCCGGTACCTTGGTGGTCAGTGGACTATGCCAGTATAATGTGACAAGACATCAGTTAGGAGTCAGAGAGAGAACAGTGTCACCCTATAATAGAAAGTGCCTGAATAAGGATCATCAGGTATTAGTTTAATGAAAGCTGCAGATGCAGAAATACTGACAATTACCTTTGAAATCACATTAACCTGTTAAAGATTATATGAGATTTTAGTGATTGGATTGTCATCTATTTTAAGTGAAGAATCTCCGTAATAAAACCCCAGATAATGTTAAACCATTTATAGAATGCTGTGTCTTTCTTTCCATGATTGGCATTATAAGATGTATAAAGTACATCAAGCCCTTTGTCTGCCATCTCTGCTAGGTGTCAAGGGACAGAGAGTCAGGAAAGGTGTATTAATATGCCAGTCACAGCTCCCTCATATTAATAACTCTCTCCTAAATCCAGTGGCAGACACTATTATCTCTTAGATAATCAAAGGATAATGTTGTGCCTGGTGTGAGAAGCATTAAATGAATGCAGCTAGTGAATTTTTATGACAAGACTTACATTTGACATGCACTTAATTAAAGGAAATTGATGTAAATTGCACGAATTAGAAATGTCAAGAGTTTGCAGGGCATGTGGAGGTAACATGACGGGAAGGTGACTTGAGAAATAGTGGCAATGTTTATATTCAAACAAGGCTGCATTCTGTATTAAGTAGAATTATGTAAAAGTGCCCCAGATGCTAATTGAAGTTGAACTCCAGGCACAACATTTGGGAAAGCCAATTGGATACTGAAGTGGGCTTCCTCCTGCATTGGTGGTGTTGATAAAACAGCGGATCAGCTAAAAGTTGAAATCTGTTTGGTTGTTATAAGTCATGATTGCAGTGACCCAGTTATTTTCTCGGCTACATTTCAAAATGTATACCAGAGACTAGGGATGCACTGATACCGTTTGTTTGGAATCGGGTACGAGTACTGATATTTATGTTTTGGTACTCGCAGATACAAGTACCGATACCGGTACTTCCACTAGCATAGTCATTACCTGTTGCCCGGCTTCCTGATTGGCTGGGAAGCTGGCTCCATGTTCCCTCGGTATTGGTATATACAGTATATAGCCAATGTTTTCTTGCCTGCTATACTATACAATCCAGAGTTGTCTCTAAATTCCTCCTCTTTTGCTTACTTACCCATCATCACTCAGGCTGGGTTCACACCAATCCAGGACTGAGTGGCATTCAGACGTCATTAAGCACCACTTAGTCCTGAAGAGGACAACACATAAAAATTGACTCATGGAGCTGCATGGTGACCCAACACAGTGAATGGCCCAATGAATATGTCTGTAAGCAGTTGTGTGAAACTCAAAATTGTATATAACTATAAAACAGAGAAACATTAATCCAGTGGACTTTCTGACTTCAGTGGCTGTGTTTTCTTGAGTCGCCTTTGCATTGTAATTGCTGATTTATCTTGTAGACTGGAGTCACACTGAACTGTTATGAAAGAGTATAGGAAGTTGAAATACTCCAGCTTGGGCCACCACAGTGTCCTTCCTGAAAACAAATAACCATTTATTGAGTTATTATAGGAAGCGGCTCAGGGTGGACAAGAGGCTGTCGGGGGAACGGATTAGAAAAACTCAAATTTCTGGAGTCTAGTAATTCTGCACTAATTGCTTCATATTCAATTACACGAGAAGCAGAGACAGGCTCAAGACGGACAGGAACACTTATCGGGATGACGTCGGTTGCTGCTATAGCAGCGAAGAAACAGGTCAGGAAGCACAAGAAGAACAATACTCGGCCAATTTAAGAGTCATGTCAAACTGACTTCTAATTGCAAGAGGCAGAGAGTTTACATAGATGCAGTCCATACAAGGCTAATTAACATTGCAATGGGATACGTTTGTAATCAGGCTGCTTTCATTACAGAGCAGTCAGACGCTCCAATGCTGTTATACATTTCTGCGAAGAAGGATGAAGGTACAAAAGCCAGCTCCCAAACATAATGAGCTGCCTGCTACTCAGCTTCTCTCTGCTTCTTGTCAGTTTATTCAGCAAACCACAGACTTTTTTTAGTAACTGCAGAGATTTAAAGTAGAACCCCAGTTTCATTAAAATGCAGGCTATTTGTTTTTCAGAAGCTGTCAGAATGCTAAATACCGGCAGTTACCACCTACAGTTCTTTTCCTTTCAATGCAAGAGTATTTGCTAGGGATGCACCGATAGGGTTGAAAAAAAATATCGGTACTCGTACTCGGCCTTAAAGTGGTATCGGTGCATCCCTAGTATTTGCTATGAAGTTCAATTCTTCACACCGGGCTTAAGGTGCCCATACACTGCACGATTCTCGCGCGAGAATCGTGGGAAATCCCGCGATCGTACGATAATCGTGCAGTGTATGGAAGGCGTGCAATCGTTTCTACTGTACCGGGAGCGGCTCAGGAGGTAAGATGGGAGGGAGATCAGCATCTTCCTTCTTGCTGATCCCCCTCCGTAATGTGAATGCAGAATTGATGTGTAATACATCACTTCCGCATTCACCTGCCAGTCATCTGGCTGCTATAACCAGAGAGACGAAGCTGATCAAGCAGATCTCTGCTTGATCAGCTTCTTTTGGGGTCCCCAGGTGACAGGGGTCTTAGAAACCCCTAATGTCTCCATAAAGAGGACCTGTCAGTGTGCCTTTGCTATTATATTGGGGTATTGTTATCCCCCTATGTAATAGCAATAACAATAAGTGTAAAGAAAAGTTTACAAAACCCCAAAATGTTTAAGTCCCCCACCTCCATGTTTACGCACATATAAACGTAAATACGCGTTCGATGCGCCAGCGCGGGAAAATGACAATTGCGCTACACATGTTACATATCGCCGAGAGCAATAATTTTAGGGCCATCAATCACTGATAACACTAAACTGATGAGCTGTAAAAGCTTTTAAAGCGTCACCTATGGACAATTTTGGGAATTATATTTTGTTGAGGTTTCGCACGTGCAATTTTAAGGCTTGACATGTGTGGTGTCTTTTTACTCGACGTGACCCCGCCTTTTATATTTTACCAAAAAATTGGGTAATAATAAATGTTTTATAATTTAATATAGGGGAAACAGTTTATTTTTTCCGGTAATTTTTCCTTAATATAGTAAAAACTAAAACCCCCCCCATTGGTGATTAAATACCACCCAAAAAAAGCTCTGTGTCCCTAAAAAATTGTATAAAATTAATTTCAGTGCAGCGTTGCATGACGTAATAAATGTCAGTCAAAGTACCGCAGCGCTGAATACTGAAAAATGGCCTGGATGGGAAGAGGGTTTAACACCGCGGACTTCAAGTGGTTAAGTAGTGAACAAAGATAACTCCTCAGAGCTTGTGTCTTCAAAAGCAATTCAGCAATGGCATGACAGTCCAGAAGCTAACACTCGAAAATAAGTTAGAGTTCGCAATCCCTGTATCTCTGTGCATTTCCCAACAAATTACGTCTAATTGGCCCATGCAAGGACCCTTAGCTCCACTCTGGTCCCAATGGGAACAGGGGTGGGCTTATAGCCAGGGCACTGTACATGAAAAGTCTTTCCAACTAAATGCCAGTATACTGGAGGGTCTCCATTACTCTTACCTCATGATATCCAGTATGTTGTCTAATGCTTGGTATAGATTGGTAGATTTTCAAACTATATTAATGTGAAAAATGTCAATAATGCCATCAGAGGCTTGTAGAATGTCTGATGTTTGATTTGTAGCATTCAATTTTGTAATGAATAGAGTTTCTTGAGCAAAAACCACATTCGCTGTTACAATTATGTTCATTTGAGAAAGAATTTCCATTATGCTCCTTCGATTTTTCATCACTGTGGTCCACATGGATCGATTTAACCCCATTAACTATTATAAAATTGAACAAACGTTCTGAAGCTTAAGTCTTGCAGCCCTAGTAGCATGCAGGGAACATAAGAAAATGTAACGACACAAACATGACCTTAAAATGGTTCGCCTTACTGGTTTTTGAGTTGTAATCAGGGCAGTACATCACTCTTCAGCATACTCCTTTAGCCAATTAGTTGGACATCTTTCACCAAGCCCAGCATCTAAGGGCCAAGCATCAGAGGAGTGAGGAAGGCTCTGTCAGTCTTCTGTGCACTGAGAAGTACAAGTATATCAGAGCTTTCCTCAACGTTTGATACTTAGCTATAATAGCCAAGTGATGGAGCAACAGACCAGTACTGACGTCTTGCAGTGAAGTTCCTGTGTGCCAAAATTTTGACTACATTTTTATTTTATTTTGCTCTCATCATGCATGCCGAGCGGTCAATGATATGAACACTGCTAATGGGTTTCATACAAGAGGTTCACGCTGACCAAAAATATAAATTGAGGGTCAGAGAGGTATTCAAAGCAAACATCCAGCAAGTGAGGAGCATTTTGACCCAGCGGGTATTGATCACCATGGTGAGCATTAGTTGAGTCCTGTGTTCGGTAATAAATAAATCTTTTACATCAGACAAGAGGAGTATTATATATAGAACTACTGTATATGTTCATTTCCCACATTTAGTGCACAGTATTTGCAAAGTACATAGAGCTATTTACAATGGCCAAGAGAAGCATGCAATCTATCGTCCCTACAACAGTCATATTTTCCAGAGCCAAGCTGGTCAGAAGTAACTCTGTTTTCCATTCTTATTGAGAGTCAACTGGGACACCTGGAGGAATTCCAGACAAACATTGTGGAGACCTATAAACTCCACACTGACAGTGTTCTTAATGGAAATTAAACCCAGAATTCAACAATTGCATTTTTTTTACTTAATTATACTACTGGTGGAGAGACTTCTGATAACATCTTATCTTTGTATCTTACAGGGTCTTACACTGACGAGGCTTGGGAGGTACAGCCTTGCTGAGAAGTTTCTTCGGGATGCAGTACAGATTCAGAGCACGTCACACGATGCCTGGAAAGGGCTGGGGGACGTTTTACAAGCACAGGGAAAACATGAAGCTGCTGTGGAATGTTTCATAACTGCACTAGACTTGGAGTCCAGCAGTCCGATATGCCCATTCACCATCATACCTCGTGAACTGTGAGGAACTCTGCAGGAACTGGAAAATTCCCTTTATTTAAAGGCCACTCCTATTTATGGGGGTGTGGTGATATCTGAGTTCCGGAACCAAAGTGTTGTAATATGATTGTGTGTATGGACGTGTAGTAAAATATGAGACCACATTTACCACCATCAGGTCATTTAGAAAGAGCAGTGCTCCTTTATTTTTCACAGGCATTGGCTTTGTTGCTTGCCTGTCCTGTTTAGCTTGAGTTTTGGTTCGTATACAAACAACACTGCTATGGAATCAGAAGTCAGGTGGACCTCTGAATCAATAAATAGCCCTTTAAAAAAATGTAAATTCAAACTCCAGAACAAATTTTTTTTAGCATTTTAAATATGGGTTAGAATTTATTTCAGGTTTTTTTTTTAAAGATAGGGTTAACATTTCTTTCAGGTTTTTATTTCTTTATGTAACTCTATTAGGTATTTTTTCCCTTACCTGTACGTACAACACAAGGACAAGGTCACACACTTGTCAGATGTTTTAACCCTTCTTTACGCTAATAAAAATGTTTTTGAAATACAGCCAGTGTCCTAGTTGGAGAGATAGTCCATCACTTCCTAATGGAAAGAGAGGCAAAATCATCCAAAAAACAATAAAAACCCAACAGAGAGCTGCAAAGGAAGGTGATGATGGAAGATGTGAAGGTGTGTCACAATAAATCATGTTCCTTAGGAGCACTCACCTTTCACCAGGATCACCAATCAGGATGTGCCATGACACACTGTACTGATACACTTTCATCAGAAAAGGCTGGTCGGTTGTGTTTGCCTACAACGTCTGCACTGAACCTAATAGTTGGCTACTGTAAATAGGAACTGGATTATAATCATATCTTTTTTTTTTACAAATGAGTAATCAGTCTAAAGCGCAGGGATGCTTCATCTATTTATTAAGTTTGTCTTTTATGGGAACATGATAAAATGTGTCGAAGTATACCCCATTGTTATTTTTGTGTACTGGAGACACACACTGCATTCCCTTTATCCAGGGCTCTAATTTATATTTATGACCAGATGAACTGTACCAGCTACACATATTTACTAGCCACTGCAGTCTCTGAGAAATATAAGAACCTAAGGGAGTTTCCAACAATCATCATCTATCCATAACCAAAGTATCAGTTATCATGTGAATTCCGATTGGTTGCTTTGGGTTAAGGCACCTTTTACACATGCTTAATAAATCACTCTACATTTCTGTGCTAACTGCCCTCTAATTAAAACTGTTATATGTATTATTTTAAACCTTGGTTGCAGATCATTAGTACATACAGTATCTAAAAAAAACACAAAAAGGATTGTATTGTTATTTACAAGGACTCTTCACATTTAATTTAATGTTTTACCTTTCCAGCAATTTTTTTATGGTCAGACAAGGCAGTGAAATACAATTCTAAATAGAATTTATTACCTATCTTACTCACTTATACAAGTTCTGGAAAATGTTAAGAGCGCCTAATGGGAAAGGCCTATGTTTGCCTTGTTTCCATTGGAGACCAGTAAACATGGCTTTATATGGAACGCTGTGTTGTTATGTGCTGAGAGGTGTTAGTAGAGCATTCCATAGACACAGCTCTAAACTTAGATCCTCTACCTTGTTAGAAGGTAAAAGTATGCTTTGAAGAGGACCTTACACTTGCTAATCAGTCTCTTTAGAGCTTGTGTATACATTTTGTTTGATTTTAGCTCAGGACTGAAAAATATATTGTTTAATTCAAGTCAGGTTACTTGGGAAAAATTGGTTGTGGACCTTAGGCGTACTGCACATGAGCACAAGCCCCAAAAAACGTTTTCCTAATAATTTGGGCGATTGAAGTTTGCACCTCCACCTCCCCACAGGCCCCTGGCTGCATTTACTGGCAATTTCTGGCTTTCATTTTGACAGCCGGGACTTGTTCTGTATCTGTTGACTTATTAAAGGCGAATAGGCTGTTCACTCTGCATAGGAATTTGCACTTTGCAGGGGAAGTTTTTCCTTAGTTTAGTGCATGAGGCGAAGCTCTGCTGACTTCCATCACCCAATTATGTGCAACCAAAATACCATATTTTTTCCTTGCACGTGATTGGGTATTTTTGCAAAGAAATTTCGACACATTCAGCTAAATGCCCCCGCAAAGTCTGCAGTGTAAATACAAGTTATAAGGTAGCAATGCTATCTCTGGCCTATTTATAGCAAATAAGGGGGAAAGAAAGCTTTATATAAGCGCCAAACCTATTTGTCACAGCTTACGCAGGGCTATGGACTCCTACCCTAATTCCATGGGACTTCACTGAGCCAATTAAGAGGCACCAGTGTTTTCATATGGGAGAGGGAAATGATTCACATGCTCATCTATAGCCAGAAATGTACGGTATTTCACTTCCCTCCCAGCAATCGAATGGAGCAGTGCGAGAGAAAGGAAAGGTGACTATAGGCAGCTGGGGATGGAGGGATCAAAGTGACCTTAACCTCTTGCCGTCCGCCCGTAGTAAAAAAACGGACGGACGGCACTGCAGCATCTGCGGGTTGCCGTCTCCAGACGGCAATTTTGTTTCTGCTCGCTCGCGCGCGCCCCCTAGCGGGCACGCACGTGCAGAAAAGTCCCGATCAATGCACACACCCGTTACCGGGTGTTTCACATATAGGCGATCAGCGGGTCCGTAGCCCGCCGATCGCCTATATGTGCTCGTTCGCGGCACCTCTGATGATGAAGCTGATGAAGCAGATCTCTGCTTCATCAGCTTCTTTTGGGGTCCACAGGTGATATTAGGGGTCCTAGAGACCCCTAATATCTCCATAAAGAGGACCTGTCAGTGTGCCTTTGCTATTATATAGGGGGTTGTTATCCCCCTATATAATAGCAATACCAATAAGTGCAAAAAAAATAAATATAAATAAAAAAAAATAAAAGTAAAACATAAAAAAGTAAAATAAAATAAAAGTCACATATAAAAAAAGGGGAAAAAACCCCCCCAAAATGTTTAACTCCCCCACCCCCACGTTTACGCGCCTATAAACGTAAATACGCGTCCGGTGCCCCAGCGCGCAAAAATTACAATTGCGCTACACATGTTACATATCGCCGCGAACGTCGCAGTGAGAGCAATCATTTTAGGGCCATCAATCACTGATAACACTAAACTGATGAGCGGTAACAGCTTTTAAAGCGTCGCCTATGGCCAATTTTGGGTATTATCGTTTTTTGAGGTTTCGCGCGCGCACGCAATTTTAAGGCTTGACATGTTTAGTGTCTTTTTACCCGACGTGACCCCATCTTTTATATTTTACCAAAAAATTGGGTAATAATAAATGTTTTATCATTTAATATAGGGGAAACTGTTTTTTTTTTTAAATTTCGGTAATTTTTCCTTAATATAGTAAAAAAATAAAACCCCCAGTGGTGAATAAATACCACCAAAAGAAAGCTCTATCTGTCCCCAAAAAAGGGTATAAAATTAATTTCAGTACAGCGCTGCATGACGGAATAAATGTCAGTTAAAGTACCGCAGCGCTGAATACTGAAAAATGGCCTGGATGGGAAGGGGGTTTAACACCGCGGATGTCAACTGGTTAAAGCAAAGAAAGGGTCACTTAAAGCAAACTGAAGGACTGAAATAGTTACAGTGAATACTGCAAAACCATTCATAACATTGGCACAGTATGTTTGCCGTGCACTGCCTGTCTTGTACAAGGGTCCCGTGCACTTTTTACCTCTTCATGTACACCATGTCCTCTCGTTAAGGAAAGGTACCTACTCCAGTAGGAATGCTGAGGCGGTGGGGCCTGTACTGGGCTTGCTCACAGTGAGTAATACCACCCGCATACAAACCCTTTTTCCCCTCCTTGAGTTGCTGTCCTCTCCTAATGACAGCTTGGCAGCTTTTTGGCAGACATAAGGTGCTGATTATATTTATTGCTTTTGCTGTATTCACTGTAACCATTTAAGGCCTTCAAGTTAGTCTATAGAAATCTGACATGACAGAATTACTAGGGTTTCTTTTGCTGACCTCCTTCCAAAAAAGCTAATTGCCTGGATGTCTCTGATTTCATTACTGTCAGAATCACAGACCCAGAAAAGCATGCAAAAAGTAGTTGAAGTGAAATCAGAACTCTGGACATTTGCTCTTGGGCATGTTTTCTGATGGAGACAACAGTGGCTCATTCCTGCAAAATGTGTGTTGAAATTACAACGTCTGGTCTATATCAGAAGCCTGTGTGACAGGATGACAATGTAGGAGAACAACTGGTGGACCAGGACCATTGTCACCTTATAAAAGGAAGTGCCTGAAAAAAGACCCAGGTGGCGAGATTGTCAAGAATTATACAAATGAACATTTCATATTGCAAATGCAATATATGCCTTTTTTGTCATCTGTGTCTCATTAGTTGGATTTCCCTACACTTTCTGTCCTGAAGATGAAACAGGAAGTTAGAGAATATCCTTCTAATGTGAGTGAAATCTCTCTTAGACATGTGTCCCCATTGAAAGATCTCCCCTCTATTCCTGTTCTAGTGGCAATTTTATTTAATTTCCAGTGACACTGGTACTCAGTACAATTATTAGAGAGAGCGAATCTCCCTGACAGGGACATAGACAGCAATAATAAAACTTCAGATTCTACTTCTAACCCCTCATCAATCTATACAAATCTAAAAAAAAGTTTTTCATTTATGAACAGTTTTTTTTTACCCTCTGTACCTAGTTTAGTGTAACTCCATACAGAGCAGGTGCGATGACTTGGTGGGGTGGCATGGCAGTATATAGTGAGATCTCTGTACTGTAGTGTGAATACTTCCAAAATGATGAAAAGAAGATAACATTCCTAGATCCAATTGGAGTTTGCAAAGCACTAATGCGCCACTAAATAGGAACTGAATACTGGATGCTATGCCCAAAAAAAGATAAGCAGAGGACAAATATCTAGTCACCAATATTGCCTGTGGTCTCTTTGCAGCTGATCTTTTCCCCATTACTGACTTACATTGCCTTGTTATGATCTGTGTCTATGTGTGAAGTTGAGCATCTTGGTAGAGGTGCAGGGCTTTGCTTCCTCATG